CGGCGGCCGCCGCAGTCAGGCCCTGCCCCTCCGCTCCCCAGACACCGAGGGCTGCGACCGGGGCTGGCACAAGTTCCAGGGCCACTGCTACCGATACTTTGCGCACCGCCGGGCCTGGGAGGACGCGGAGCGGGACTGCCGCCGCCGCGCGGGGCACCTGGCCAGCGTGCACTCGGCCGGGGAGCACCGCTTCATTAACAGTAGGGAGGCGCGGGGAGCCGCCGTCCTGGGGCGGGGCGTCCGGGGAGGGGGCGGCGGCCACGTGGCCAGCTCCAGCCCCGCCCTGACCGTCCCCCCACCCCGGCCTGCAGGCTTCGGGCAGGAAAACATGTGGATCGGACTCAATGACAGGATCGTGGAGCGGGACTTCCAGTGGACAGACAACACTGGGCTGGTGAGTGGCGGACTCTGGCCTCAGTTTACCCACGTGTGGCAGCCCTGGAGGACCCCGCCTCCATCCCTGGGCCCTGCCTCTGGGCCTTTGCACATGCCAGGCCCGCTGCCGGCACTCTGTTCCCTGTCTGGTTCTCCTTCCGCTCCACTCCTCCACTCTCCTATGGCGCCTCCCAGAAGCCGCCCGGTCTGGAGGCCTGGTCGCCTTTTTTCTCTCAATAGCCATTCAGGGGGGAGGGTTCACACGGGAGGCAGGAGGTCCGCGCGGAGAGGCTGTGGCCTCCTAGCTGGAGGGGGCCGGCTTGGGCCTGGATGGGGAATGTGCGTGGGGGGGAGCCCGGGGCCGGGACCCAGGCCCCCCGGAGTGCCGCCTGCTCCCTCCTCCCGCAGCAATACGAGAACTGGCGTGAGAACCAGCCCGACAATTTCTTCGCGGGTGGGGAGGACTGCGTGGTGATGGTGGCCCACGAGAGCGGCCACTGGAGTGACGTGCCCTGCAACTACAACCTGCCCTACGTCTGCAAGAAGGGCACAGGTGCGCCTCCGTCTGTGTCCCCCGTCTGTGTCCCCGGTCTGTGTCCCCCGTCTGTGTCCCCCCCGTGTCCCTCC